ACACACACACACACACACCGACACATAGACAGAGGACTAATAGCCCTGACAAGGTTTATGCTGGAAACGGTCCTGAAGAGGTCACTAAAAATTTACACACACGGACACTAGCATACAAATTGTTGGCTATACTCACTGCAGTGGTTGAGACTGTGATAGACAGCGAACGCTGACACCAGCAAATGCGAATAGGAGTGTGGATACAGTTAGATTTTTAAGGCTCTCATGTTATATGTAACAAGTAATTTGTCTTAATGCAAGAAAATAATCATAATTTTGTTCTGAGAGTGGTTAAGAAACATATCACACAACCACAACAACCCTGGTTCAATATCTTGAGCCACTGATGCTTTGCAGGTTTCTCTCTTTTTGTTTTATACATTTAAGAGCATTTCATCATAGGGGATTGGTTAACAATTCATACTAATCAAAGAAATAATGTAATGCTTTAATTAATAACTTAATGGGATAGTTCACCAAAATATGAAAATTCACTCATTATCTACTCACCACTATGCCAATGAAGGGGTGGGTGAAGTGTCTGAGTTTGGACTTTTAGGCTTAAACATGGTGCAAATTACATAGTTTCCACCCATATATGAATGTCAGGGCTTGCGGACACTTGCAGGACACCACACGGCCAGTATGAATGAATGTTGTGTTTTTTTCTGTTCTTTTAGTACTTCAGAAGCATAAGTCAGCAATTATTTCAGCTGTATTGGATTTGCATATGCAGCATATCAAAAGTTGATGTCATTTACTTCCTGTGTGTCCTGTTTGTAGCTTGATCTGTATCTGTAGAATAAAGAGGTGGAAACCTTCATCTAAAACATCTTTCTCTGAACCCACTTACTTTGATTTCAAATGGGCTCGCAGCACAGCAGGTCCAGAGGCAGTTGAATCTGCAGTGAATTTCAAGTATGTTCATTTATTCAGTACAGTAGGGAGAGAGTATGAAAAAGTGGGGTAGTCAGTTAAATGTGTAAAAGTGTTACATACTGCATTGATAAAGGCGGTTCACTCGAAGGATGTCATTGGCACTCATCTGGTTGGCCCTGCCAATGGCTACATTATTGTCAGGGATTGGAAGGATGGTTGCCTGCCTGTTCCTGGAGAAAGCAAACCTATGGTGCAAAACCACAGTCACGAGAGGTTTTTATCAGTTCACCATACATCCCAATTGTTTATTTGTCCACTTGATAATTAAAATATCAGTGGTCACTCTCCTTTTACCTCTGTTATTGTCTTAACTCCTGATAAAAAATAGTTAAATTCACAAGTGTTTGCAGACAGCAATCACACAGTCAGAGAGCAGCTGATGAATATAGTGAAGCATTTAATAGCTTTATTTTGTTGTTGTAGAGTTATAAGGGGAGCATGAATTAAACATTGAACATTAAAATGCCTATGTGATATCTACTGGATGTGTAAAGTACTCCATCAATTACTTTATATGGTGATAATATATCATATGTTTTTACAGTTTGTTGTAAACATGTGGCCAATTAGTAAATACAGGCTTAAAAATATGTCAATGTAAAGATAAAAACAATATTTTGAGGTAATTCTAGACAAAAGTTATGGTTAAATTCTAGGTTCACTTTTATTTGTTATCTGTTTTAAGACAGTATTCATATATAACGTCTCAACCTTACTATGAACTACTATGTGCCCTGAGATAATGAATGTTATGAATTAGATTATATTGATTGTAGCCTTTGTTGTATTTACAGTGCAACTGGGTGAGAGTGTGTTGTCCACTAAACCGAAGGTTAAATCACCATCTTCTCCATTTCACATGCCAGTGTCTTTAGGCAAACCCCAAATTGCCCCTGATGGCTGTGCCAGCAGTGTATGAGTTATGTGTGACAGAGACAGTGATTCACATAGATGCACTGTATTAAAATGTGTTAGTGGGTGAATAGCAAAACTGAACTGTAAAAGTGCTTTGGGTGGTCACAAAGACTAGAAAACCTCTTTATGTCATTCACTTACTTTCCTTGCCGGGGACATTGTAGTTAAAAATCTTTGGAGATAACATTTTATTAGCCTATATTAGCCTCAAGTGAGTTTGAGAATACATAGAGAACACATTTTTTGCAAAGACAGAGGAGGAGAACTGTGAATTTCATCTCTTTGGACTTTGATCTGATATTGGCCAGTAGGGACAGAAAGACAGTGGTGTCCTGTGTACATGTGGCCATGTGTATGCTTTCTTAAGAGACTATATCATGTTTAGTTGTGCTATATACTGTATATATCACATGATTTCATAATTGCATTGTATTATATATATTTTTGGTAGGTTCAGAGGGACAACTAAGATGTTACCTTCCATAGTGCATGACAGAGTTGTAGTCATAGGGAGTACCAAGGTTCCTTGTGTTGATCTTCCTGAAATTAGACTCCATTCCTGCAGGGGATCACACAGGACAATACAGTTTGTCAGACCTGTAACTTAAATCTGCAGGAAATTAGGGATCATCATTTCTGTCCATGCTTGTTCATTCTACAGGTATTTCACACATACATTTACCTGCTGAAATTATGTGGAGTATGATAGTTGTATTTATATATTGTATGCCTTGTACTGTTCATAATGAAAAACTATTTCAAATAGTTGATGAAAATGACCCACCTGGAATGACATTCTGCAACTGGATGCGAACATGCTCATCCCTGTCGGAACGGGTCTGCTCATGGTTGAAGCCCAGGGCATGGAGCAGCTCATGTTGGACAATTGAATGGAAGACACAGCCGTTGCGACTCAAAGACACTGGCTGCCTATTGCCACGACGCCCGACATATGAATAACACCTGAGAGTGAACAGTGCAAATAAAAAAGTCCCTTTTGAGAATATCCCACACTGTGTCCTTTGACCTAAGACACCTGTCAGCTCTTGGTGTTAATAGGAAAGTGCATTCATGTATGCTTATGTGGTATGTGCACTGTGTGGTCCATACCCTGACAGAGACTGGATGTCCACAAAGTCCCTCTGCCTCTGCAAGGGGGTGAAGCGGATGCAGGTGGATGCAGCAAATGACCGCAGACCACCAATAATGGTATTTCTCTCTCTTTGGGCTTAAGAGTAAAAAAGAAAAACCTTCTCATCAGTTTAGTGACTTGCATTCATTCTATTATCATATTAAATATAATATGTTTAGCAGTAAAATACCATTACTGCTAGAATATATAGTACTAATAATACTACTACGAAAACTACTGTAGTACTATACCACTGCTACCATTGCTACTATTTCTGCCGCTGCTTCTGCTGCCTTGCAACAGCACTCTTGCTGCTACCACTAGTGAAGCTGCTATTTCTATTACTGTTAATAATGCTATTGCAACTAATACTAGCCTACTACAACTATTACTACCAGTAATAATATTAGCATTGCCATCACTAGCATTACAACTACTACTTTTGCAATATAGCTGCTACAGCGACTGCTACAAGTCAAATATTTACTGCTACCACCACCTTTATAGTACTGCTATTATTAAGTGATCCTTTAATATTAGTTATATTCACTGCTACAGAAAAAGAAAAGTCCTTCATGTTTGCTGAAACTTACAGTATGCATTTGAGAGTCGGTATGGTACATAAACATTGCCATCAGAGGATTTAGGCCACAGGCAGCCACGGGTTGTGCAGGGATCAGCATTTTGTAGACCTGTTGGCACTGCTATGTCTCCAAATATCACCAGAGGCTCATCCATGTTCTTTCCTGCAAAACCACAAAAGGATGATCTTTTTTGTGTTCTATATTTCATTGTCTTGACATCTCTGATGTGTTAAGGGATATCTGGGCCTAAAACAACCTCCACACAGAGGGTTATATTTGAAAGTATCTCTACTGTATATGTCAGAGTGTAATACCAGCATTATGCATCTTAATGAATATTTAATAAAACATTTTATGGTTTGATTTTTTTTGTCTGGTTCTCAACATACATACAGTACATAGAGTATGCTGGTTGACATTCAGTGGACATGAACATACCAAGATTAGCATTGGCCTTCTCTAACAGTGTGGAAACGCTGAATTCATCATCTGCAATGGTGTTGCCTGTGGAAAAGAAACAGTTTGTTTGTGCATCAGTTGCATTACGCAAAACTAGTACTTTAGTAATAAAAAGTAGCCAAGTCTTACCAGAGTATTCCTCTGTCTTTTCAAGTGAAGCCTATAATAAGACAGTGTAAAAATAGAATGTGTTATATATGGTTCAGTGAAGGAGGAACCAATGTGATATTATCAGAAATAAGTTCAGAGAGACAGTTAAGTTCCACAGAAATCTAACTTTAAAATCATATGGGAAGTGCAGTTCCTGTATGCATAATGTGCAAGGAAAANTACTCCTCTCTGTGGCGACCCCCATGTTTTTTTACAGTAGCCCAGCCTAGACAAACTAAACACCTTTGGAGTTTATTATGATTGAAGTCTACCACAGGTTCTCTTACATGGTTGGAAGGTAATGTGAGGTTAAGGGTATTCAGCTGACACTTCACTGCTAGATGTCACAAAATTTTACAACCTTTAACAAAACCTGAATTTGGCACAGTAAATAATTCAACACAAGGATTGCACATTATTTTTCAAATTTTGATGAAAAGATAAAACTCTTGATTTGTCCATATTCAAATGGACAAATGTATTTATGCTTACCTGTATAGTGAAGCTGCAGACAGAGCAGAGGAACACACTGAGAACAGCAGTCTGGAGTATCATGGCTGGTTGTAGACAGCAGCTGCAGACTGCTCATTGGAAGGAGTTTTCGAACATATATAGGTGGGAAGACCAGTCAACTCTCATCCTAAAATGGTAAACTGCTCAACAGACATATTGACAAATGTAGCTCAACTGGAAGTGGCAGTTATTACTTAAAACAGACTTTGGTTTGTGTAAGACGTGGACGTTATCTTCTGCTGTTTCTCCATGTGAGCAGACTACATTTTTAGAATTCACTGATGTGAAAATAAAAGAGCTAAATGCTTTTTACCTCCCTTGTTTAAAAATATTTCTGAGTGATTAAAGTTATCAAAGTCAGATGTGGAAAACAAAAACGAAAATAAAATGGAATCACAAAAACATGACTGATTTACAACAATCATTTAAGTGCACAACCACTGTCAAATATTGAGGGTGTGTAGTATGTGACAGTAAATTAATAGATGTTTAAAGAAATGTGTAATCCTGACACAATAATATCAAATTTGACTATAAATGGATGAATCTGCCTGTCTACCTGTATCTCCTGCCTGCTACCACTCATAAGTCTTACAATAAAAATATTGCTGCAGAAAAGAGTCCAGAAACTTTACATAATAACTCAAAAATGCACCAGAAGACACAATGTGTTCAAGGTGATGCTCATTTACACAGCAGAGCAAATAAGAAGAGATGTTTGTTAAAAAATGTATCAATTGAGCTAACAGTTACAGAATCCATCAGAAATGATATTTGTTACACGTTCAGTCTAAAATAC